CTCCTTAATGTGACAAAGATTTGTACAAAAAGAAATGAATCCAGGATTCTGCCACCAAATTCTCACCCCCTCAGATCCACCTGTATTGAAATAAGACCCGAAATACAATAATAATGCTACAAAATATGCAAATTCTTATTAATATAACAGTACTTTTAAGATATTCTAATTAAATATGATGCTATTTTCCATTATAATGCTGTAGAGTAATTCTTCTGTAACATTAGTGAGGGAGCATTCTCTTCTGTAATTAATACCTTCTCTGCTTAAACCTTCTGAAATAATTCGAAAAGCAAGACTTCTGGATTTAGAAGATGACTAATCACAAACACCTCATCACACTGAGGCCAAGAAAGGATCAGATGCAAATTTTCTCTATCTAGATTGGCATTTAATTTAAGTTAATACTCAATAAGCATTTTTAAATAAAAAAGAGAGAGAGAGAAGCTAAGGACAGGTTAGAAGTGTCTTATTTTCCTCCACTTTTTGCACTCTACAGTGAGATTTTTAATTTCTCCTGGTTTAATGAGCTCAAGCAGCTTGATAAATAATCAGCTGAGTGCCACAGCCACCATGAATGAGAAGGAGGATGGCAGAGCGAAGAGAAGGGTGAGGAAGAGGAAGGGAGTGACAGTGAACTGTGAGATCAGCAGAATTTGCCTCACCCAACTTCACCCTTTGGGCCAAATCAACCTGCTTGAAAACAGCTCAAGAGAAGGAAGGACAGATGGAGTTGTTGTTCCAAAGGTTATATGACCTTCTTTGCTGATGACACCAAATTGGAGTCACTTGGTGTGTTCAGCCTGGAGAAGAGGAGACTGAGAGGAGATCTCCTGGGGGTCTAGAACTTCCTCCCCAGGGGCAGAGGAGGGGCAGGCGCTGATCTCTTCTCTCTGGCCACCAACGAATGCCAGGAGCAGAGGACATGGCAGGAAGATGTGGCAGGGGAGGGGGAGGTTGGCCATGAGGAAAAGGTTCTTGAGGCACCCAGAGGGTGGTGGAGCACTGGAACAGGCTCCCCAGGGAGGTGCTGATGGCACCAAGCCTGACAAGATTCCAGAAGCATTTGGCCAACATGTGCCCTCAGGGACATGGTGTGAATGTTGGGCTTGTCCTGTGCAGGGACAGGAGCTGGACTCCATCATCCTGGTGGGTCCAACTCCAACATTTGATCATTCCATGAATCTTAGTCTCAGTACATTTAATTCAGTTTTGGGAGCTAGAAAGAAAAAGCTACAAAGGAGAGAGAAGGTAGAGCGAGAGCACAAGCGTGTCCATCTGTGAGCAGCAGTCATTCCACAAGGACAAAGGGGTGCAAAGCAAAGCCTAGCTGGTAAGATGGAATAACTTGAGTAAAATATTCCATCAGGCCAAAACTGTGACTTTCTATCTATTTATTCCATATATTAGTGTTATATACTATTAAATTTTCATAGCATATTTGAAAATTGCTTGAGAAATCCATCTCTTGTATTCCAGCCTGATTGCTGACCCAGTGTAACTACAGCACAAAATCTTCTCCACAGTTAAAAAAACCTAAACTTAACACTTTCAAGAAGGAGAGAACATGATTAACTTGTTCACTGTTCCAAAAAGATGTTGTTATTTATTACAAGGACAAACAAAATGTAAATACTTACATCTTTCCTGCATACTCTTTTGAAGGCTTTGAAGAAACCGTAACATTTTTCTCCAAAGAGAAAAAGGAAAAATAAAAACTTAGCAGTTGATAAAAGAGTTGTCAACTAATTTTTCAAGAAAAACAGTTTTAAACACTTTTTTTCCCCAACAAAATGTATTTAATAAAAAATAACTTCATAAATAATATTAACGAATATTTTCTTACTGCCACTTTTATCACTCTCCATCCTGAAGTATCTTGACTGTAGGATAAAATTTTCTCCGAAACTTCATCTGCAATTTTCTTATAGTCCATTTATCTGGAAAGATTTAAAAGTAATTTGTTGATATATGATACAAACAATTCCTGAAAGAGCAAAAAATATAGGGCTCATTCTTATATTCAGGTTTTAGTACATGTGAAATGAGTATTGCTATCAAATGATCTTCTTATTCTCAATATTGCTATCAAATTAACTTCTTATTCATCATCTTCCATTTCAGAAAAGAGATAATTATTTAAACAAAATTCTATAGTTAACTTCCAGTCTGGGCTACTGAGAAGTAGCTTTTGGTGTTGATCTTGAAAATGAATTACAGCATCTAGTGAGACACACTGTTCACTCCACACTAAATCCAGTCTTAGTCCACAGTAAAACTTCTCCTCCTTCCACAATTTATCACCTGAGACAGTGATTCTGCCCTGATTTGCCAAAGTCATCAGACTAATAGACAAGTTGTGTGGTTGAAACACACGAGGGACAATTAAAGAGAGATTTTTCTTACATCAGAGCTTTATGCAACAATGATTATGGGCTGTGCCATTGAGGGAAGTCTTGGGCAAGCGAGAAGCTTGGTCCTCCCAACATGGGCAGTACCTCTCAGGGAGCTCTTCCATAGAATTGCAGACTGGTTTGGGTTGGGAGGGACTTTAAAGCTCATCCAGTTCCAACCCCCCTGCCAGCAGCAGGGACACCTTCCACTAGACCAGGTTGCTCAAAGCCTCATCCAGCCTGGCCGAGAACACTTCCAGGGAGGAGCAGCCACAGCTTCTCTGGGCAACTTCCTTGGGCAACCTCTTTCTCCTAAGAAGAACTGTGGTTCTAACACTTGGAATCATTAAGGTTGGAAAAGACCACTGAGATCATCAAGTCCAACCGGCTACCCAACAACACCAGGACCATTAAATCATGGCCTGAAGAGCCATGGCTACGTGGTTTTGGAACATCTCCAGGGATGGGGACTCCACCACTGCCCTGGGCAACCCCTTCCAATGCCTCAGAACCCTTGCAGCAAAGAAATTCTTCCTCACATCCCATCTCAACTGCCCTGGCCACAACTGGAGCCCATTTCCTCTTGTCCTGGCCCTTGGTCCTTGGTTGAACAGACCCACCCCCACCTCTCTCCACCCTCCTCCAAGGGACTTGCACAGAGCCACAAGGTCTCCCCTCAGCCTCCTTTTCTCCAGGCTCAACGCCCCCAGTTCCCTCAGCCACAAGGGAACTCAGCACACTTGTGCTCCAGACC